TATGTTACCCATTTGTTATGTATAATACTTGTGTGTGAGAATGGATTATTTAGGGTAGATGTATGAGAATTTGTAAAGGTCACACATACATTATAGTGATTGCGTTTAGTTTAATTAATATTTTATCTATATATATTTTTCATTTTTTTAAAAACAGGTGGTTATGATATCCAAAATTGTAGCTTATATAAGATAATTTTAATATACTAAATAATAAATATTAATTATTTTATCAATTATTAATTGTTAAAATTGTGTGCATATTTATACGCCACTCTCTTCCCTCTTCTTCTTTCCTCTCATTCTTCTCCAAACTCCGACTGCTAGGCTCAAACAGAACGGAATCCAGCAGATATTGGAGAGATTTTTGGGGGAAGGATTAGGAAACTTATGTTTATAAAGTTTACTAGCTTGACCCATCCCATTTTGCAGGGCGTGTGGTTGTATATATTATTATTTTAAAAAAATTTTAATTTATATGATTTTAAACCACACATTTTAAGATTTAAAAATTTTATTTTAGATCATCTATTTTTATACAAAATAATTTATATGATATATTTAAATAGTAAATTTATTTTAATAAAATTATATGGTATGTCCTATTAAATTTAGTGATTTCTCATTAGCTGGAAGGTTATATTTATAGGCAGTGAAAAAGTTCTACTTGGACATAAGAGCATACATAAGCATATTCCAAAGGACACCTTATGTCGCCATTTCGAGTTCCTGTTTAACTGGTGATTTTTCAGTAGCTGGGAGGTTATATTTATAGGCGGTACGTGAAAAAGTTCTACTTAGGCGTAAGACTTATGGAGCGAATGAATGACAAGGTGGGGAGTCGCCCCGAACTTTTGAAAAATATTTAATATGGTATTTTAATTATAGATGTTAAAAATTTTGTTTTTATAGTATAAATTTCAGTGACCATATCAAATATAGAGAAAATATTTATAATCTAAATAAAGAATTTAAAAAAAATAAGGATATGATTCAAAATTCAATGAATTTTATGTCAATTTATTAATTAAGAATTGTAGTTTTTAAATATTTTTGCATCTATTAAACTCAAAAAAATTGGTATTTTATTTAAATAACTTTAAATTTATAGTTTTCATTAGTATTTTTTTGTGTTAAATCAATTTAAGTTAAATTTCACTTTCTAAAAAAATATTCAAGTATTTTTTTTTATAATACTAATATTTATCAACAAAAACTCTAAAAAAATAAAAAAAAAATAAAAGCTCTTTTATTTCAACAAAACTAAAATACTTTTATTTTCACTTTAAGAATACGTTGTTGTCAGTAACATTAATTTGTTGGGTGTACCATTTTAATTTCCTAAAGTTGAATTCAGACGTGGTGATATAAGAGGATATCTTGTCTTCTTCTTTCATCGAACCAACAACAATCCACGAGCTCACCTCTGTGTTTTTTTTTTCTTTGGTCGTCCACCTTTGTTTTCTTCCACAATTGTATTTTCTTTAAAAAAAAAAAAAGACTTGTAATATGGAGAATAGAAATTTGAGACCAAAATTTTATATTAATGATATAGTAGAAGTTATATTATTAAATAAATTAATATATATTATTTTGAATCTTAATAAAATAAAAAGTACCTATTATTAAATAAAGAAAATCCTATTTTATATGTATATTACACCAAACTATTAAGTAGGGATCATTGACTAGGGAGGGCTTCTAACATCTATGAACTTTATCTTATCTAATAATTAATGTAGTGCAATTTAATATTGTTTGAATTGATTACACTTTTCATTGAAGAATTATTAAATAATATAAAATTTATTCTTTAATAATTTAAATAACGTAATTTATGTTAATTATTGATTTTAAATTTTGGTGCAAATAAAGTTAGTCTCTTTTACTATTGTTTTTAAAGAAACTATTCAAGTGGTTGGGAAAATACTAAAAGGCTAAAAATAAAAAATTGGTTGAGAAGTACTACTAACAAATAAAATTGTCTTTTAGTATAAATTTTTAGTTTCATAATTTGTTGATTTAGTATATATTAAGAACCAGAAATGATATACTTAAGTGCAATGACTTTTACAATATAATAATATGTTATTAAATAAATAAATATGATTTATGTAACATTTATATATATTTTAGTAAATAAATTATAAATTAAAGTGTTTTATTTTAAAATTTTAGGGATTAAATTGATTAAATTCAAAATATGTAAATTTTATGTGAAATCTTGAAATAGTTAAAAGTCATCCAATTATATTAGCTAAATTTAGTGACATGTGGCAACGTATCAATCTTGTATGTTGTACTGGAAAGTCTTGTGGATCATCCGTGATTGAGACATGTGGCAATGTATCAATCACGTATGCTGTATTGGAAGGTCTTGTGGATCACCCGTGATTTCCTCTGAAAGATTTTAGAAACAAAATCATCTTTTTGACTTAGAAGCCTTCTGCAAGAACTTGACTCTCCCGACTACCCATTCTCTTAACTTTAGAGCTGCGTGAGGACACACTTTCAGTTGACATTCCATTTAATATCTGATGTTTACCTCGCTTTAGTGCTTTACTTTTTATGGATAAGGATAAGTTTTACCTATGAATTTGAGTTTGAATTTTGGATAAGTTATAGATTTATTATAATATACTAAAAATTAGTTTAACTTAGTAAAATTTGACATTAAATTTTTTGTTTTAAGAAACTTTTTGGGTATTAGGAATTTGTTTAGAAATATTCAGATTTTGAATGCATGCACAGGTTTTGGAATAGAATTTAAAAATGTGTTTTAATTTCATACTTTGTTTTAGTATGAAGATCTATTGTCTATAATTTCTATTGTTACTATGTATTCCATGTGTATGCTTTGTGTGATGATTTTCTTAAAAATTAATATGATAAAATAATTTCATATGTTAATTTGAAATATTGGAGTGTTGCCTATGACTTGGATGGGAACTAATGTTCCTTAATTATATGATCATGTATTAATTACAAATATTTGAGAAAAAAAATCAATTTCAACTCTTGTGAGTGAAACCAACAGCTAGGCATGAGATATTTGAAGTGGGTTGTTTTAAATGCAACTACTTAAGTGAATTATTAAATGATATTATATTCCTATTATTTTGGATGTGTTTTGAATATATTTAACATGCATATGTGTTTGTAGTTATGGACTAACTAGACCTAAGTTTAAAGTTTAGGGCATTTAATGGATCCTCAAGGGTAATTAGTGGATCTCTGCACAGTAAAGTGAGTGTTGTGATTAATTTCGATTAAACATTGCTAGCACATATAAGTGGACTCCATAGTATTGTGTGATTTTTTGTTTAATACATGTATTTTGATTGTCACATTTCATTGGTGAGCATATGACTTTATGATATAAATTTAAATTAATTGTCATTGGTTTCTCTTTGACATATTTGATTGGTTTTGAATTATTCTTTGACATGCTAAGTCATTATTTAAACAAGAAGACTTGCAATATTATATGACTTGGCTTAATTGTATATTATGCTATCTGAGTGTTTAGATCTAAAGGTATTAAAATTTAAGTTTATAGTTTTAACTTAATACTTACTTGGCTTTTCACTATTGAAAAACGCGACATATGTGACAAAATTATATTCGACAGTCATATTTCTGATGAAAATGTGTACATAACCGACAAAAAGATTGACGAAGATGTAAAATTGACGATGATAATGAAAACTTCTGGTTTAATCGACAGTCTTCATATTCAGTAACTTTTTTGTCGAATATATAAACATATTCAACAGAAATTTCTGACGAATGTGTTTATTCGTAAAAAATTTTCTGTCGAATATGTATGGCAACATAATCGGCTCCAGTATGTTAGGCAACGACATCGTTTCCTCTGTATATTCAGCAGCTTTGGCTATCGAATATACTGGTTCATATCACCCCCACCTCTCCTTTCTTCCCCATTTCTACTTCTCCCTCT